CTCCCTGTTTTTTGCACGAAGCTGTGTCAGTTTATTAATAAATTTTTACTTCTTTGCAGGGGAAATCTCTTCCCTGAAAAGTCACGTGAACTTCAAGTAAATATAACTGGGGTAATTTTTCAAAGTCTTCTGATCTTCCAGTGAACTTGAGGCGAAGGCATCTGTGTCAAGATAGCATGTCAGCTTGCAGAAGAACCTGGGAGCCTGCCTAGGACCCATTTGGAGATCATACACGAGGAGATGGAGGAGAGATGGGCGTTTTGCCGTGTAAACAAGCAGTTGTCATCAGTTACTCTGACACTATCAGGCAGTGCCTAGCTGCCCAGGGGTTTGGTCATTAGGGGGTGTCTCCCGACGGATGTCTTCCCAAGATCTTAGAGCCAAGGCAGCAGTTAGAGTAGTCTCATTCTAGATAATACAGGAGAATGGGCGGGAACCCACCTCTTGAAGCTGTTCAGCTGCACAGAACTGAAGTGTAGCTGAGTCTTAGCGATACCCATATGTCACAACATGCTCCATTCGTGTTGGTTTCACTGATCCCAGCTGTGGGAAGGCAGCCCTGTGCTGTGAAATGCTGCCCGGACCTCTGGCGTTCGGCAGAGTTGTGCACCCGCTCCATGTCCCTGGTGAAAATGGGAAGGTGCTGTAGCAACAAGCACAAATGCCGGAGCGAGGCGGGTGAGAGAGAATACGCTTTGCCCAGCTCGTTTAGTTAGCTTTGGCCTTAACTGGCAGGTTGCAGTCCTGTGCAGATCTTCAGTATCACACAACTTCTAGTAATGTTATCTGCAGTGAGTGCAAAGCTGCTATAAGTGTTGTAAAACACCTTTTCTATAGTAAATGCGGAGATTACACCCCGCAGAGTTGCAGGGGTGGCAGCTGAATCCTGTAAGGGTGTGCATATCTCAACGCAGGAGGGCGTTTTGTAGACGAAAACAGTTTATTCCCTGTACTCTGTATCTGGACTTTATGTCTCCTCACAGACCTTCACACTTGTGTTCTGCTGATCACCTGCCGGTGCTATGCTCATCCTCTGCAACTCCTGTCTGTACCCCCAAACCAAGAGATCCTGTGCTGTTCTGTTTGCAGCAGCAGCTCCCTGAGTGTTTTGTTAGAACTAGGGAGTGAAAGTGGGGTTCTGAGTGGCTTTTTTTTTTGAGGGGAGTTTTTCTGAGCTGCCTCATGCCCTGTGCATTCGCAGCTGTCGAGTTGCTCCCCTGCTTTTCTCAAACATCCGTATATTTGCCTTTTCAGACCTACCTTTTTTATTTACCCCTCAAGCCAAGCGATTATTTCTGCTGCAGACTGGTCTCTGGCAGTGCTTTTGAGGAGGATCCAGGAGGGTGCAGCTGTCTCCATGTTACTCCCGGCAGATTTTGCTGGGGGCTAGCTCTGGAGCTGGGGTTGGGAATTTGGGGAGTTTTCCCCTTAAAGCCCAGCACCAGTGCGTGCTACAGAGGGCATGGCAGGGCTGGGATTTCCCTATCCGGGGTCTGATGAGGCTCTGCAGTGCAGCTAATGATGACAGAGCCAGGCGCTCCACCCTTCTTGCCATGCGATGCTGTGGGGGGAGCAGGTGACATTCGATGTCCCCAGGGTCTGATCTGTTTTGAGGAGAGGGGGGAGATGGTTGCTTAAGACCACCAAAACACCTTCCCGTGAGTTAGCAGGCATGTTTGCTTAGTTTAGGAGATTGGAGCTGTCTGAAGGGGAGAACAGCCCATAGAGACATGGCTTTGATGAAAACAAGCACCCCTCCAAAGTAACATTCCTGACGTTACCAAACCAAGCCTGAAAATTGAGGCTCGTGTCTTCAGCAAAACCCTTTAGCAATTTATCTGGAGATGCATTTTCTGGCTTCAGCCTCAATCATACTGCTAATTCCTTTATTCTTGATTCCAGAGAATTTGAAATTTTCATGGCTCTATAAGGATTATGCTTGTTAATTTATTCAGTGATGGACATTTGTGTGTGTGTGTGTATACTATGTATAAACACACACAGCGTCTTGCAACTGGGATGGAAAATATTAATCCTAAACAGACTGTGGACTAAACTACAGAGGATGGAGTTCAAAGGGGTTATAAAAAAAGTTAGCAAGTGAGGAAGTGGAACACTTCATTTAGCTTTCTCTGAATTGCTGATGTGTTTTTCTTGGGGAGAAAGCAATACAGTTATTTGAGCTTCGTCTAAAACTACCTTCTCCCCCCCAGCTGATAAAGACTGCCTGGATTTGTACGTTTCCTAGGGAGCAGGATTAGGGAAGGAGTAAAACATCAGGATTTAGCCCCCAAAAAGGAAATTCTTGTGCTGGGAGTGTACCTTCAGAGCTAAATCCTTCCTTACCACCTAAGTTTAAATGGGATGGTGTCTGCTCTGCGGAGCGGAGAACTGGAAGCTGTGCAGTCCCCTGTAGGGCTGAGTAGCTGCTGCCCATGTTAGATAAATTGGCATACCTAAGAAAAAATTGCCTTACTCACTTATTAACTGAGCCTCCCGAGGAGTGTGCTTGTATGCTGTAGCGTACGCTCTACCAAGCTTTTTTTTCAGGTTCATGGGTGGAGAGTGAAATTGTCTTTCTAAATACTGGACAACTCTTTGGGAAATGTGTGCCTGGTGGCTTCTGGTACCTGTGTCACAGATAAGTTTTTAAAA